ATGCCTCCAGTAAAGCACATTCACATGAAAATTAATCTTAACTAAAAACACTTATCATTTATTGAACAGTAAGTAATAATTTCATATTTAAATACTTTCAGAAGTTTGTATTCTGAATCTGACCGGACTTTTGCTTTAAAACAATTTTCTTTGTTGCATTTTAGTGTAAAAAGGCCATCAGATTTAGGATGCGTCACTTCTGAATGTCTTCTATTTTCATATGTCTTCTATTTTCATATGTGTGTCTTAAACCAGATCCTGATCAGTTCAGCCTGTATGCACCTCATAAGCCTCCCTCTTTTACTGATTTATGTGAGAGGAATGTCCAGGCTCTTAAGGTTGGCGGCACACCTGATTGCTCAAGGACTGTTTTGTCCCTTTGTTTAGCCAAATGGTTCCTGGTGACACCTCCAGCTGTGAGAAGAGCTGCGAAAGTTAGTCATCTGAAAGGGCAGAGCAAGAGGTGGCTTTGATTGGATTCTTTGTCTTTCTTATTCTTACCATGATTTATGAATAAAGTGCCGCTACGATTATTTTAACCAATTTCCTTTGTTAACTGAACTCCTTTTTCATTTTGTGTACACTTTTCCTTTATAAGTGATTTAAAAGTGAATCTTGTGTCATACTGAGGTAGGAGCACAGTGTCCATCTGCTAAATGAGGGGCTGAAACATGCAGCTCCAAAGCCACAGGTTGCTCTTTATATCAAACTATGAACAAGTTGTCTTTTTTTAATTGTTTTGTTTTATTGTTGATTCTGTGCCCCATGAGAAAAAAGCCCCCACCCTGCTCCCCTAGTTGTTTTGATCTAGAACCGCTGTTCTGTCAGATGAACATACCCATCAGACCAACACACCCATAGTAAATACGCCTGTGCAAGACGTCAGATTTGCGTTTTCCCCTTTAGTTTTGCACGAAAAATAGACTTTAAACTACCTCAAAGGGCGGGTATCCCTTTATTCTTGTACAAAAGAAATATATTTTAGGTGAGATTGCCATATGCTTCAAAAAACACAAAAAAGTAATTAATTAAATTGTTCTTTTTTGGTACATAACCAAAGGGATACACGCCCGTTGATGTAGTTTAAAGTTTATTTTTTGTACAAAACTAAAGGGATAAACTAAAGGGATAAATGGGTATTGACTATGGGTATGCTCATCTGACAGAACACTGCCAATGGAAATTAATGTTGGGGGGTCTGAGACACACATAATATTATAAACAGAGTTCTATGGGGCCCCCAGGACCTTGGAGCCCTAGGATACTGCCTAGTATTGACTAATGGTAAATCCCCCACTGACTATCTTTAACGCGATGAAAACATTCAGTGTTAAACAGCAGGAATGTGTCATATTATTTATATCTTTCTGTTTTGTTGTTTTCTTTTTTAGTGTCTCAGATGGTCATAGAAGAAGTCAGTGCGATTCAGGAGGACCTGGAGATAGAGAGGCTATGTCGAGAAAGTGCTGAAGCTCTGGCCTCAAAGGTACATATAATCTTTAATGAAATGAAACGTGTTGCTTTGCCTTGGTCATGTTGGAATACATCAAACAAACATGGTAAAAGTAGAAATATGTTTTAAGATAATAAATCCAGCAGTGATCTAAATAATAAAGTGTCGCTACATTAACATCCAGCCTGGTTAAAGATGGATCTTTGAAAGCCCTCTGGTTAGTGAGATGCCATTATGATCCCAGCCTGTTGCAATCGAAGGTGCCTCTGCTGCTGCTGTCGATGGTCGTCCTACACTTGAAAATGAGGGGATGCTCTTTCTCAGAGCAGGCTTTTTGAAACCCTTCCTCCACAGGTTGTGATTGAGGTGGAGGAGCCCTGCACTGTGATTTTACAACCTTTACAGCAGGTGCTGAGATTATAACTGTAATCTTTTTTATTCAATTTTTCTACAAAAGCTCCCAAAGTCCACCTAGCTGGACAAAATTCTGGAAAAATGGTAGGCTGATGGTGACTTATAGTGAAGGTCAAGGTTTAGCCTTTCTTAGCCTTGTTTTTGTTGCTGTACCATAACTTCCAAGTCAATGTCCCCTCATCCTGTTTAGGCCTATGTAATCCTACAATAACATGATATTTACAGTTGACTTATTAAAAATGCTTTTCAGTAAAAGTCAACAGCAATAACTCCAATAACAAATGATAATTTTATTCAAAATGTATTTATTAAAAATGCTTAACAATAGCTGTAATGAATGAAAAGCACAATGAAAGAAATAACGTCTCATCTAAACATCCCTCAATTAACAAAAGTTAACAATAACTCTCAACTCCCAATAACACATGATACTCAGCCTCAGTAATGAATGAAATAATGTCTGTTCTGTAGGCTATTGGAAAAAATAAATTAACAAATGAGCTAATTAACAAAAAATACCTTTTGTGTTGCAAAAATTATTCAAAATGTACCAAAAACGAACAAACATATCAATAGACTATCTTTACTTTCGGAGTCCAGGTGGCTTTTCAGATCCCTTGCACCTCTGTTGGACACCGAGATATATGTGCCTGCTTTGCACACTGTGCACAAGGCCTCCTATTTGTCTGGACCTGGTCTGAAAGCGGGGAAATTCTTTTGTAAATCGTCGGTAAACATACATTTGCGCTTTTGCATGTTGTTGGCATACTGACAGCCACGCTATACAGTATTCTGATTAAGAACAGGGCTCCCCGCACTGACGTGGCTCAGGGGTTAGGTCACACGCAGCGCCTGTAAATGTAATGGTCCAATTAAGGTAATTTAAAAAACAGGACATTTCCTCATGTTCTAAAAAAAACCCGGGACGCCCGGGACAGGACGTGAAATACGGACATGTCCTGGGAAATACGGATGTTTTATCACCCTAATATATATATTATATATATATATATATATATTTATGCTGTCATTGCTCGTACTTAATGTATATAATTTGGGGAGGGGGGGTTGAAATGTCCCCTGCACTTTTTAATCCCCAAAAACAGTGTAACAATGTTGCGTTACAGTACACAGACAATCATCATTGTCATCATTCTGAAGCCCGCCTTCTTGATTTATGTCTTTTCCTGTGTGATTGGTTGTCACCACTGTCACTCCTGAGAAATTCACTTTTTATCTGATGCACCACTGGATGGGGTCTGTGATTGGTCGGTCAGAGCGCGGCTGAAGTCCTACAAGCTACTGAAATTAGAACTGATCGCAAGTCTTTTTCTCTGCTTTCTAGTACGCTTTGGATTTCTGAGATATCTAATACAGTCCAGGAGTT